GCTGTGAGCCTTCCAACCTTCTAAGTATTCCTTTATATGTGGTTCAGAGTTCTGGGACCATCCCCTGAGCTTGCTTGGTCGGGTATTCTGTGTTGCTGTTGGCGGAGCTCTCTGCTATACGTCCACCCGATCCGCCATCTTGTTTGTTCTCCCCTAGCATATGCTCTTTTAAGAACTATCTATATGGGATCAAAGTGACAACAACCACCTTAACCAAATGGGGGGTGAGAATGGTGGCTCAACTTGAAGAGCACAGTAAATATCCATAAATTGGACAAGTAGAAACTGCTGAATTGGTGTATGTTATGCTGTGTATATTCTCAACAACAAAAACAAAATAAATAAGCTAAAGAAAAGAGAAATACAGTGTGTTATACTATACATAAATTAAACTTTTTACAAGTACTTCGTGGTTCAATTTTACACTGTATACAAGAAACCACATAAACACAAATCAGGCATCTATCTTGCTTTTGGTTTAAAAAGAAAAAAAAACTACAGTTAATTATGCATTCATATAAAAAAGTTTTATTCAGTGCAGACTATGAACCAAGTACCTGTTACTAAGCTATCTAATAACTCAAATGTAGATTTGTCCTATCTGGGACTACATCTCAACTGCAAAATGCATTCTTCCCTATATTGATGAAGAGGCAGCAGAGGATGCCTATGCTTGTCCAGCTAGTCTGGCCTACGACGTATTTGTAGAGCAAAGAATAGTCCATGTTTACTGTTATACACTATTGAAAGTGTTTCTTATGCTGAATGACATAAGTAAATCACAAAGGGACAGGTATTATATGATCTCACTAATAAGAAATAAACAGAAAGGCAGCTGTATACAGATCAGAGTTTAATAAGAGGTTACTAGGAGTGGGAGGAAGGAGGGAGGAGGAAAATTATTATTTAGGAAGCATTGATTTTTTTGTTTATGAGGATGGAAAATTTTGCAAAGGACATTGATGTTGGTTGCACAACATGACTGATGTAATTTTTACTTCACTGAATTGTGTATATGTGAAAAATGTTAAATTGGCAAAAGTGGTGTTATTTCTATTTTTACAACAATTCTTAACAAGTGCTATTTTAGAAACTATACCATAGAAAAAATCCAAAATCCATTTTCACTGAAAGTACCTTTGAAAACATGTAAGCAGCTCGTTATAGCAGAAGAGCTGAGTTTATCCTCTAAAGCATTTTACCAGTAAGCTAAACACCTAGCAACAATTGTGAGGATGCCGTTAAGACTGGGCAGTGTTTCATTCTGTTGTACATAATATAGGGTCACTACACATCAGAGGTGACTTGACAGCACTCAACAACAATAAAACACTAACAGTTATGGGTGTCTCAACACATACATTTTTTATATAAATGAGACACTGATTGCTAACCAGCATTACTGTTAACTGTGCAAATGTATTTTGTAGCAATTGAGTCTTGAACTCTTCTCCTACCAACATATATTTTATAGGTTTCAATTTTGAAACACTACTAAACTGAAACAAATCCTGAAATTCTAAAAAATAAGCCCACTATCTGAATTCCCAATACTGCTATAATAAAAAACAGATTCTGGTATAACAGACTTGCAGACTTTTACATGGTTGCATCAAATATTCATATACGCTAAAAAATATAGCTTAGAATCATTGCATAGATTTTTCTTTTTGTTAATAACTTAACCAGTAGAAGAAGCATATTTCTAATGACACCTTCTCAAAACCATACAGAAGATGGTTCTACACAAAATTCACATATCTACTAAATGGAATTCAAGTAAGAAAACTGTACATATGTGTTCGTTAATAAGAAAGTGTACCCTGATTTTCTCAGATCATTTTAATTGTTGATTACATGCCACTTTGCAGGTAACACATTATTTTTCAAATGTTTTCAATACAAATTACAACCAAATTTAAAAAAAAAAAACATTTCATCATAAAGCCAGAGGCTCCAGGTAAGAGAATAGCCAGATGACTGGATTGGCCTGCTAAGGAATAAGCCAATACTCACCTGTAGGGGGAGTGGAGGAAACAACAGGGGGAGTTGGAGAAGTGAAGCCATCAGCAAGGGTCTGGGCACCCCCAGCAGCAGCGTCTGGGGCAGTGGAGGGAGGGGCAGTAGCAGGAACAAGAGGGGCAGGGCCAGGGGCAGAAGTAGCAGGAAGGGGAGGAGTGCCAGCAGAGCCAGCAGGGGCTGAAGGGAAAGAGCAGAGTTAAGAGGCAGCATTAAGGAAGCAGTAACATTAGGCAGAATTAGAAAACATGTCAGAAAACTGAGCGTTAGATATTCAGTGATTCGTACTAAACAAAAGAATAGAAGAAAATGGTGAAAAAAAGAATGAAGCTTAGTTAAAGGATTATCAGGTATGCAGCAAATAATTCAAGATGCTCAGGGAAAACTTCATGAAAAACAAACATTACTTGCTACCTGAAAACTACTACTCTGGAAGAAAAATGTTCCCTTTATATTGCTATTTTTAAGCATAACATTCTGTAAACAATATACAAAACTAGATATAACACAATAGAGAGTAACAGTATTTCATTTGGATTTATAGTTATCTGAAAATACATATTTCCAACATAAATATCTTATCAGACTAAGAAAAATCCCTCTTTTCCCTGGCTTTTAAAATGGTACTGCCTACTTGTTATTTTAAGTAAATTAAATATGTGACATTCTATCCATTACTCATTTGTGTCATGCTTTTAAAACGAAATTTTCATTTTATATGTCCCCAAGTCAAATAAGCACATTTTTCTACATCTTAAAAAAGAAGGTACTGTATCAGAGATTAACAGTTAAGATTACACCCACTCTTCACTTATCAACACGGGTAAATTCCTAAGACCAGGTCATAATGCAAAATACGGGAAGACTACATCATTATATACCTGCCAAATTAAATGTTTACATCATGGCCAAATTTTCATCATTACATCACTGCCAAATTTCATCATTAAACAACTACCGAATTATATCATTACATAACTTTCAAACCACTGAGAATTATGGCCCAGCCAAACTAGCACATAATCTTAACCCTCACAGCGAGTGTTTACTCTTACCTCACACCTCTTCATTACTACCAGTCCCACTTCTTTAATGTGCAAACTCGTCAGATTTTTTTTTTTACTTTTGTTATAATGGGAAATGCTGACTTAAGACAGCCAATAAATGAAGAATAGGTGATCTTGTATATTTGTCTACTCCTTTGCACAGCATGACGATTCTCAGACTAAGTACTCACAACGTAAAAGACATGCACTGTCATAATACTGTTGTTGTTGTTATGTGCCATGGAGTCGGTTCCGACTCATAGTGACCCTGTACTGGGTTTTTGAGGCTGTACATCTTTATGGAAGCAGAAAGCCTCATCTTTCTCCAGTGGAACAGCTGACCTTGCAGCTCGCAGCCAGATTCGTAACCACTACTAGCAGGAATTTAACATGTTACTCATACCAAGGTAGTATATGGAACCTCAAGCATCAACTGAGCACCAAAGACATAAAACCAACTAAGAGAAATGCAGAGCAAAAACGTACCAATTACTTGGTTAAAGATAATACAAGTATAATAACTTCCCAATATTTACAGAGTCCTACAAGGAAAAAAATCCTGATTATGAAGAAAGCCTACTGCCATTAAATCACACACTGAATTCAAATTTAGAAAGGACAAATGTAGATGAAGCATCATTAATGCTTTACCTGGAAAGACACTGGGAGGAGATGGGGTAGGAACAGCAATTGGAACCCCTACACTCCCACTTCCACTGTTCTCCCGACTGCTGCTCCGACTACTTGGGTGGCTTCCTCCACTACTCCCACTGCTGCTAAAGAAACAAGAGCCACCAAAACATGAATATTTATAATACAGTAAGAGATCACCAGCGTTTCCTAAATTTTCTGAAATGAACACAGCTACAATTAAGATAACTCAAAAGCCTTCTACTTCAAATAAGAATTTCTTACTGAGTTTTGACCTTATATATATACAAGTATTAAAGAAATTAGAAAAAATGAAAACTTTCTGCATAAGTGAAAGTGGCAAATGTTTGGGCTGAACACAGTAAATATTACCTTATTATACTCCAGTTCAATGCCTGTCTATAGAGACTTCTGTATAATTTTCCTAAACAAATTATTTAATTTTAATTTGTAATGATGTCTTGACATATTATTCCATATTAATAATTATTGTGTATGGTTTTTCATCTGTAAAGTTCCACCAAAAAATAACTTGAAATTTCCCATATCTGGTCCGGTCCATAATTTTCTTTCAGGTCAACTAAACTATAAACCCTGCAGAGAAGTTTATTTAACATGTCTGTTTTTTCAGCTTCCTGGCTACTCAAAGTTGCATCAGAACATGAGGAGAGAGAGGTGGAATCAGATGAGGTTCGGGGAAGTAGAGTGAGGAAAAGAACTTAGTGCTTGGAAAATGAAAGAGATTTAATTGAAGTTAATTGAACAGATTATGGTACTATGACCATCACATTTTGCACTGAGGTAGAGAAAATACCTGTAAGTTCGATTTCTTTGATTCACAGAAGCTGTCCTCACAGGGCTCTGCTGCGAGGGAGCCATATTACGGGTTGGGCTAGGTACGTAATCATTTGGTACCACTGGAGGACGCACTGGCTCCAGTGTGCGATAGGGGGAGTGCCGCCTACAAAAAGAAGAGCGTATGTATTGTGTGATTAGGCAAGTTTCGGCACAATAAATTTCAAGAGTTGCCAGTAGTGAAATACAATTTGTAATCAGAGCTAGTTAAATGTGTTTTTAACAGAACCCAGCTACCAAATTTCAGTCTTTCCTAGAGCATTATTTATTTCTCCACATTAGGATTTTGAGGAGTTTTATTATTTTTGTCTCCAACCTCAATTCCCCATGCTAATGCAATTTTGTTCATTCACTCTCAAAGAACACACCACTTAATGTTTTTCAGACACTGCTTTTTTCCTAGAAGTTTGAATTGTTTAGTAACATGTCAAAGTCTCCCAACTGCATTGCATGAACACACTAATTGTCCTCCTCACACATCTCCCACTAAGCAAACAAACTCACAGATAGGCTAAACATATCTAGAATTTGGCTACACAACTCCCACAGATGATCAATATCAGCCTAACAACTCATTTCTCTTTCTACATAATACAAAGAAATTAAACTATAACCATACACAGAAATACAATTTAAACTTATCTCCTTCCATTTCACCTTACTTTCTCTCTCAACTTGCACCTTCACCTTCATCTCTCTTTACTCTGACCCTCCTCACAGCTTGACACGTAAAAGGAAAAAAAGAAAAAGACCACCGAAGACCTATTTTGAACTGTAAAGCACATACCAGACTGGATTTCATGAACATATATTTCCTCTTTTTCTGAAAACTTCTTTTTAAAGAAAGAGGATAAGAATAAGAAAGAAACTAGGATCCATACTGGAATATACATGATTACTAAATTAGGTCTCATAAACTGTGGTTTTATGCAAACAACACATACTATGCAGGATTTTTAAAACTGCATAATCCTATGCATTTTGTGCATGTGCATGTTGTCTACATGGGCACAACCTATGTGAAAATTAGGCATTTCTAAGTTTTCTGAATTATTTATAACAATGATAAATACTTAACTGACATGAAACTGACAATGAGATTCTGGACTGCAAAGCAACAAAATTCAGCATTCAAGATACAAAAACTAAAAAGTAATGTTGCTCATTTGGCTTTTGTATTTCTCAATGATTCACTTTCCAAAAGATTCCCAGAGTTCCTTTAAAGATTACTCTCCTGAGCCACTTGAGTATGGCTTACTGATTTTTGGATGAGTTCACTTTCAATAACCCCATCCATCCTTACCTTCAAAATGTCCTTGCATAAATACATACACACACAACAGTAATTTAAAACAAGTAAGGGGCACTGACTGTAATATTGGGTCAAAGAAAGAAAAAAGAATGTTAAGACTGGATTTACCATACTAAAAAGACATTAAGTCTTTATTTTTAAAAAACAACAGAAAACTGATTAATTTCCAAGTATCTTGTTTTTCCTAGACAGTAAAAATGTTCTGTTTATCCATGGAAAAACTCTTGCCTAACTGAAAACTGTAGAGTGAAAGCAATGATAAAAAATAGTAATTATAAGGTAAATAATTAAAAAAGCAAAATACAGTGGCTAGGCAAAGACCATGAGAAAAAGTCAGGCTGCAAACCAACTGACTACGTGGTACTCAGCAATTCTGGTATCCAAGAATGTTGCACAATCCTTGCTAATACACATGAAAAACCAATACCATCATATTCATGAATCTTCAAAATTTGAAAGCAACAGAAAATTATATTTCACTAGAGACTACAATGGGTTACCTTGCTATATAGTCTTGAAATAAAACCAAGCAAAGTCTGTTAGGCACGATACATGACAGAAATGTGTATGTTCCACAGGGGAAAAAAACAAATATGCCCTTCTTGATCTAACTCCTTAATCTCACTCCTGCACAATTAATTATGTTCTACCATCCATGTCATCTACAATTTACCCTGAAGTTCAAACCTCTCACTTGATCCACTATTTTTCTAAGAATTTTTTGTCTACCCCAAATAAAACCATTAGATTCCTGGATGAAATTCACTTCTGTTCCTTCTCTCCCTCCATTCTAACTATAATTTTCTAACACTATCCTCTGTTATATCATCCTTGTCCTGTCCTGATGAACAGTGCTTGATTTAGGGTTTTTTTTGTGTGTGTATGTGTGTTTGTTTTTGTGTTTTTTTTTGGTGAGGGGGCCAAAAAATTAGATTGTTAATTAAATGCTTTAAAGCATAGAACATAAAGCCAATGATTCTCAAAGCATTTTGTTTTTTGTCATAAACATTTTTTAAAATCCAATTTGTGATACAGCGTCCCTGAAAAGTTGATAGAGGACAAATATTACCCCCTTTTACAGATGAAAAAACTGAATTGCTGAAAGGCTGACTATGTGAGACCACAGAGTGAGCAACAGATCTGGGTAGATTTGAGTCATTTGACTTCTGGGATATAATACACCCACCAGAACACAATTCTCAACCATGATACGCTGCTATGAACTATCATGATTTTATAGAAGTAAAAAGGCAAGCTTTCTATTAACTGACTTTTGCCAAAAGTCAAATCCAGAGCCCAAAATTCTGCATCACCAAACTAAAGTTCAATATTCTCATAAAAACAAGAGTTACACAGAATTCTGTAATCTAAACAGCCTTCTTAAAAAGAATGTTGTTGTTGTTGTTGTTATGGGCCATGGAGAGTCGGTTCCGACTCATAGCGACCCTGTACAGGGTTTCCAAGGCTGTAAATCTTTACGGGAGCAGAAAGCCTCATCTTTCTCCAACACAACAGCTGGAAGCCTCGAACTGAGGACCTTGTGGTTCGCAGCCCGATTCGTAACCACTAGTAAATTTTAATTCAAGTATACTAAAACTAAAAAATTTTTGAAATTTAAATTCATGGGAATTTGGGCCAGAATTTTCCTTCAAATTTAAAATTATAAAAACAATTTATATAACTAATGCCTTTCAAATTACAAAAATGGCTCTCAGGAATGGGGAAAGTTATACACAAAAAATAAGATAATCCTAGGAAGAAAACATTTTGTCTTTGAATACTCAAAATTAATTTTAAAATATGTATGTAGTTTTTAGTTTTCACACAACACTACGTAAAATGGTTTTAAATTATTACTTAGTTACATACTCACCCAAGTGTCCCTTTCCCTGACATAGGAGGGCTGGGGGGTTTCTGGGTTGGAGGTGTTGTACGTGGCAGCCCACCCATCTTCATATTCTGGGTACTCACCTAAAAAATGTTGAGGAAATCTCAACTTAAATTGTATGCAGTGAAATGATGTGGCACTTTGGAAAATAATGCTATGCTATTCAACAAAGGAAATGGGAAGGCTTAAACAGGAAAAATATTAGAGGCCATGCATTTCATATGCAATTTCTACTCTACTATTATTCTACAGTTGTACTCAAAGGACTCTTCCTAACATGAAATTTTCCAATGATTAAACTTGTATACAAAGACTTTATTTGCCATTAGGCCATCACACCAACAGATCACTGGTTAGACTATTTGATATTATATTTAATTAAAATTCAATAGGATAACTATTAAAACTAATTTTAATTAAGAATAACACAATCAGAAACAATAACGCATTTAAGCAGTTCCTCAGTTTTAGATAGCGTTCTTTAAATATCAAGTATAACATATAAAAACAAAATGTTTCCCAAATAAAAATATGCAACTATGCATATGGTCCATTATAAATAGAGGGTATAAAATAAAGTTAAAATTGTATAATAGTGAAAATTTTAGCTTTTTTAAGTTATAAATAAACCTTCTTTAATGTTCTCTTAAGAGGGAATCACCCACCTGAAAACAGTTAGAAGCTCAAGGCATGTTCCTAAATATCTAACCCAGAAGTTAGGTCAGAGGTCTCCCATGCAACTGTGAGCAGAGGCTAGCGGCACTGTCCCAGCTCCAGTGAGACTGGACCCTCAGGTCCAAAGTGAAGGTTAATTTAAGCATGAAAGAAATGTTTTATAGTTCCAAGTCAGAGCTGGGCCATGAGTCCATTCGCTACACCCAACTGAAAATGTTAGTGTAGAAAAAGTGGGTGATCTGGACAACAAATGCCACCAAAGGAGTAGATTAGCATTTAAGAAAGTCCTAGAAATCTGGTATCTTACGGAGCTAAGACAGTTCATTCACAAAGGTAGCTGGAACGCAATTTAAAGCTGCCTGAGACTACTAATTGGTTAGGTTTAATTAAAGTTCAGTATGTTTATCCACATGATCCCATTTAAAATTCCTAAAAATGTCTAGAGTATTCAAATTGCATTTGAAAATTAAAATATAAGGCATTACACCACTAAAATTAGAAAACAGTCAATTTCAAAATAAACATTTTAAGAAATCAAGTCATGACAGTATACGAAGTATTGAAGCTACCAATATAAGTTTGGTTTAGGATTATTTTTTAGATATCCTAAAATTATAATTGCTATCTGGATAGGAAAGAAATAATACTTGGGCACTTCAAAACGTTTGTAGAAAAAAAAAAAAAAAAAATTCCAGTATCCTATAATTCAGCTTTTCTGCAAACTTTGTGAAGCCCCTTTGTATATAAATAAACAACTTCAAATGAATAGCCCAGTGAACAAATTGCGTGTGATGTTAAAACAATCTTTAATGACAAATGATACCTTTGAAATGTCGATACTTTTATATACAGCATTCATCTGTAATCCTTTTGCTGTTGCTATTAAATCATGATTACCAAACAAATCAATTATGAAGTAAGAATAAAGATGAACTTATCCTTGCTCTCTCCCTGAACAATAAGCAGAGAGTATAGGCAGTGCCTGGATTACGAACAAGTTCCATTCTTAAATCTGTCTTTGAGTCTGATTTGTACATAAATCAGAACACAACTAAGTATGGTTCAGATATATCTAACATCAGTCAAATGTTTGTCAAATATAGCATATAGTGTACCTTTCTTTTCTATGCATTTAAAAAAAAAAAAACATGTCCAGGTACAGTAAAACATCTTTAACATAATGTTTTTATGCATGTTGCAGATTAGCGCCCATCTGTTATTATGAACCATTATACTTGCCCTACATTTGTAATATAATAGGCTTTAAGGGGGTTGGTTTATAACTGCAGGTCGATAGTTGGATGTTCGTAACCCAGGGACTGCCTATATATTAATCATATCATAAAGTGAAATGCCACAGAAGTTTAAGGAAACCAATTCACATTTGGGGAAATTTTTAAGACTAATAAGACAATAACCAATTAACTTTTAAAAATGTAAATCACAATTTATGATACCGAAAGATTTTTTAAAGTAGCAACCAAAGTCCTTTAAGCTCAACCTTAAACAACACAGAACCCAAAGTGGTAAGGGAGAAGTAAGTAAACCAAACACTAAACTGCATCAAACTGCTAGAAACAGGAAGGAAAAGGAGTAGGGACAGAAAAAAAAAGCGTAAAAGACAATTTTATTCTATACATGGAATAGCTAAAATACTTAAAAACAAACTTCCAACTCAGATTTTAGATTTGGTATGTAAAGTGTTTTTGTTTAAATTGCAGTATCTTCTGTAAGTATATTCAATCTACTTAAAATAAAATATTTAAATTAAAATCTGGTGGATATTTCATTAAGTAAAACAGGATCTACTTTATCATCTGTAGAATCATCAAATAATTATGTTTGGTTAATGGGACTGGATAAATAATTTACTTTCAAAATCAAAGTCCCCGTAGAACATCCAAACTATAATTTTATACTTTTTATTAATACTTAACACCAATGAAGCCACAAGCTGCTCCTCAGAAGCCATCTATAGGGTCGCTGTGAGCTGGAACCGATTCAATGGCTGATAACATCACCACCAACATCATCATTGATAAATATTATACAACCTTTACAATGACACCACCTGTCAGTTTGTTATACTGTAGGAGCTAGCATGTGTCTGTGATGCTGAAAGCTAGGCACCAGTATTTCAAATACCAGCAGGCTCACACATGGTGATAGGTATCAGCAGAGCTGACAGACTAAGATAGATCTGCTGATCCACTTCAAAAAGGAGCCAGTAACAACCTTATGGGTCACAATAAGATACTGCCCAATTCACTTGCTTTGGACACATCACCAGGAAGAATCGGTCACTGAAGGAGAACATCAGGCTTGGTGCAGTAAGGGGCGAGGAAATGAGAAAGAGACACTAGTGAGATGAATTGACATGGTAACTGAAATGATACACTAGAACAAACTGCTGATTGTGACATTAATGCAGACTGGACAACACTGTTTTCTGCTGAACGTAAAGACACCATGAGTTGAGGTCAACTCAACAGCAGTGATCCAGATGGATATATTAAGCTAAAAGAGTTTTATATTAAGCTTAATATAAAACATCCACCTTTATATTAAGCTAAAAGAGTTTCTTCAGTATTTCAAGGTAGTTTTCCTTTGTACAAAAGATATCTATGCTGAATAAAATAATGAATATGCTGTGCATAATATAAACACTTCTATCTAACTTCAGGAAAGGTACCTGGGTTACATAAATAGTTTGTTCTTGACAACATTATTAACCTAAAGGTTGGCAGTCTGACCCACACTGTAGCATTCTGGAAGACATACCTGGAAAATCTGCTTCTGTAAAAATTTCAGCCAAGCAGAACAACATGGTGGATAGGGTAGAAGTGCAGTGAGGAGCTCCTTCAGCAACAACAGAGAATACCGGACCAAGCAGGCTCAGGGAATGGTCTCAGAACTCTGAACCACATATAAAGGAATACTTAGAAAGTTAGAAGGCTTATAGCCAGTGGAATTAGTAGCAGAAGCAAGAAATCCAGTGGTTTCTAATTCAATGCGCTCAGCTGCTCCCTGAAAGGCCATCTTGGGCTACACCAAAAGGAGAAGGATCAGAGCAGCCATGGACACCTGACAGAATTGCAGAGATAAAGGAAGAAGAGTCAAAAGGGAAACCCATCTCCTGATCACACCTACCTGGAAGGAATCAGAAAGCATAAAAAATACCAAAACACACACCCATCTAAGTACTAAGGACACAGCTAACTACTGAATATGCCCCCAAAAGCAGAAACAGATGACCACATCAGCACACGTCCAGAAACGAGATAAAGTGACTGAGACAAATGAACTGGAGGTAGACCTACACTCCATACTGGAAGGAGAGCAGGCTTTAGAAATGCCTGAGAAGCAATTCAGAAAAATGATTACAAAATATATCAAAACACTTTATAATAGAGTTAAGAAAAATAAGGAAGAAGTCAGGAAAGTGATACAGGAACAATCAAATAAGATAGAACATTGGAAACAATTCAAAACCTACAGAAAGAGGTCCAAACGATTAACAA